CAGCGGAAGAAAGGAAAGCCCAGGAAGGCTGGAAAAGTGCTGTGTAATGATGAGCAGGAAGTGCTCGGCCTCCCCCCCAGCTTCCCCCCGCGGAGCGGCTCTGTCTGACGCCGCGGTTTGCTCGCCTTACGAGAAAGGGAGTTGGTGTTGCCCGTAATGCGGGCAGAGCGGGGCTACTGCAAAGCTGGAAGGCTGGAATAAGTCACAGAAATACTTTTTCTTCCTTTTTGCCCCTTGTTGCTCTCCTTCCCACCAGCAAAAGCACGGAGTGGCGCCGTTTCTCTGGGATGCGGGCCTCTCTGCAGCGCAGAAGGCTCCGACGCCGGCGGTGCTTGCCCGGGGTAAACACTGAGCGCCTCCCGTAGCTCCCCTCACGGAGGGACTCAGCCAGGACCAGAAAGACTCCTCGCGGAAACAACTCAGCCGACCCATCCGAGGAGACTCTGGCGGAACCTTAGGCTCCCATTTGTCTTGTTTATTTCTCTGTGTTTTGGAGACATCCTTTGTTTCACCACATCCTGTGCCGCTGCCCACCACAGGTCTGCCACAGCCCTCCTCTTCTGTTGGGCTGGTAGGATTTAATGTTGGACTCTGGAGGTTGCTGACTCCAGCTCCCATTGCACGGGACACAGGAAAGGTTAGGATTTGGGATACTGGTGCCAGGTGTGTCACGAATGGGCTGTTTCTGCAGGTTTCAGCAGCTGGGTTACCAGGCTGTGAAAGGTTTCCTCTGGGATACAGCTGAGCAGAGGATGGGAAGACTTAGTGCAAGTCCTGTATAAAAAAAACACTTCTTCCTTAAAAAGAATAAGAAAACAGAAGACAGTTTGGTTTGGATGCAGGTACCAGCTTATCCCAACAAGATGTGCCCTCTTAATGTTGCTTTGCTTGTAGTGAGAACGGTGTAAGTAATTCTTTATTTTGGAAGTATATTAAGTGTGAGGTATACTACAGCAGCAGAACTAGTAAGCTCTTTCCTGGCCCTTTAGTTGCATCCCTTTTGCTCAGCTTTAGTTGCACCACAGTCAGCTACCTCCTGTCTAGCTCTTTCCATACCTGGTATTTATCTGCCTGAAACACTTCGGGTGCTACTGTCCCTGTTTCTTCCCCTGCCTGTTGGATACCATAAGTATCCCCTTTTTCCCTTTGGAAAAAAAAAAATATTAGAGGAGCCAGGATGCCTGTGGGTGAGAAACAGCACCGTGAAGGCCTGGTGGTTTCTGTTGTCTTTCATATTTTCTTCCAACTTCCTCCAGCTGGTCCCTGCTGCCCTTGTGTCTGTGTGTCCTTTGGCTGACAGACACAGTTGGTACATGTGCCCTGTGCTGCTTTGGGGAGTGCAGCTGCTGCTGCTGGCTCAAGAGAAAGTAGGAATTCCTCATCAGCAAGGCACCTTGCTCTGCAACCTGCTGCCTGGCAGGATAAAATTACAAGAAGCCCAGCATACCTTCGAAGTCCAGCTCCAGGATGCTCCACCTCTGCCAAGCATTGCGTGGCTCTTGCAGAAGCCAGTGCAAGCAAAGGCAGGAAACAACCCACCCAGATAATAAATTCTTAGAAATCAACAGCTTTCTCTAGGCAAGTGTAGGTGAGTAAAGCCTTTCTAAACTGGAAGAGAAGGTGTCCCCCTCCTCAGGTGCCATGTGTGGCCACTTGCCTCCTGCTGTGCTCACAGTCAAGTATAGGCTTAGGCATACAGCAGTTTGAAGTCCAAAATGTTGCTGTAGGATTGTTGCATGGATGCCTAAAATAACTGGACAGTAATATAATTGTGAGATAAATTTGATCTGTGCTTCATTCTTAGACTGTAGAAATTACTATCATGACGGCACATAATAAAAATGTGTCCTCTAAGTGGGGAAAAAAATCTACACATCCAGAAAACACCCTGTTTTCTTACTTTTTTTTTCTTATATATTTTTTTTTAAACTGTGGAATGTCTCATTGTTTACCTCAAAATTGCTGTAGCTCTGCCATGTACACAGTCACTCAACCACAGGGGCCCCAGTTTCTCATGTGCCCTCACCCCCACCCACCTTCCTCACAAATGCAAATGCAACATACTTCTCTCCTCCTGGCTGCTGGAGAATGGATGTTAAAGATATGCAAGTTGACTTGTGGAGAAGTTGAAAATCACGTGAATTTCATGCTTCAGCAGACTGCTATATGATGTGTCATACCCAGGAGTCACTGGATAGGATGGTGGCCAATAGATGCCTCTTGGCAAATGTGGGGTGACAGGGGACCAGGAAGCACTTAAAGACACACAAGAAGGTGTGTCGGCTTGCTTCTGAAAGTCAGAAAATGAGGCTTGAGGAGGGACAGAGTGGAAAGGCAATGTAATCTTCAAAAATCAGTCCCTAGATTGTAGAAAGGTCTGGAGACATTGACAAATGCCTGAGCCACCCATGCATTATAAGTAAATATATATTTGCCACACTCCTTGGATGTCTGGACAAAGTGTGGGAGAGGAAGTCAGCAGGTCTAAATTTAGGCACCCTCAAGAAAATTAATCAGTACCACTTAGGTGTAGGCTAGTAAAAAGGACTGTATTTTTCGAGAGCTTATGCTATTCCACAATTCTCACAAACCTCCAGTAAGGAATTCAATTTGCCTTGTTTAGTCTCCTTTAAAGCTCCTGTGATGGAAGGCATCCTTTTAAATTGGACTTTGCATGTGCTGATTTCTGTCACCTGTTAGGTGAGAGCAACATGTACCAGCAGTAGGGAAGAGCTTTACCCAGACCTGGAGGTGAACTCAGGGTGTGCTCAGGGTCAGACCTGCAGTAGATTTGGGAGGTTGAGCAATTTACAGTTTCAGTTCTTTCTGAGCTGCTGGAAGAGGTGGGAAGGGTAAGAAAGGTGGGCAGCAGTAATCCCTGACAGGATGACCAGTGAAGCAGGTTGTAGATCAGGGTGTCCCGTCTGCATGAATGAGCCAGAGCTGTGACACATGGTCCTGGTGTGATGCCCCTCCAGCTCCATGTGGCTTTCCAGATCTGTTTACCTGTCTGTAGTGTAAAGGCTTTGGAGCCATGAATCTGCTTTCTAGAGCTTGCTTTGTCTTTCCTTCTTTGTGTGCCAGTGCATGTTGGTGGATGGAGGAAATGGCATGGAGTGGTGAGACCCAAGGTAGGCTGGAGGTCTGCAGCGCAACATCCTGAGTGCGACATTGCAAAGCATTAGCCAACAGAAAACCTGCTCTTTGCAGGCTTTGGACTCATGCACACAACAGTCACTCATGTTCCATTTCCTCATAGGCATGCAATGGAGAGTGAGAAAAAGCGAAAATAAGAGAGAAAAAGGAAAGAAAAAAGGAAATGGAAAAAAGAGCAGGAAACCAGATCCAGCAGCTTGTGCTGACTTCTTGTAAGGTAACCTCTCCAAGCTCCCATAAGCATATCTAAAACAAACTTTTGTCTCCTAAAACCACTGCTAAGTCTTCTAATCACACAAATGTGTCATTCAGTAAAAGGCACAGCTACATGGATAATACTGCTACAGCCAGGGCACAGATGGTCAGTCATGTCCAACATTAAGAAATAGTGCATCCAGTTGCAGAAATGAGGAAGCTGCTAGATGCAACAATTCCAGCCATAGCAGCATCAGATTTTACTATAGGAAAGCCAGGTTATTTGTCAATGTCTTACAATGGAAATTGAGAGTGTAACACCTTGCCCTAACACTGCAACTGAGCTGCAACCTTTAATTGTACTTTCCCTTTCCTTCCAGCCTGCCCTTCTGGAAGATTTTGCTTTTGTAACTGGCCTATTAAAGGTGCAATAACTGTTTAATAATTGGATAGGTGTGCTTGGTGTTGTGCCAGCATAAGTCACAGAGGAAAGATGCTTCTTTCTCTCTCCCAGGCTGATGTACTGCAGATGTAATTGCGCAGAGTCTTTTGAATGCTTGGTGTAGCATGTCTGGTTAAAAGGGAGAGGAGAAATTGAGGGCAAAAAATGGGGAATAAAGGTCTTGGCCACATGGGGAGATGTTGGTTGACAAAGCATTTCTGGGAATCAAGAAAACATTCATGTTACTTCCCTTGCACTAATTTTTGCTTATTTTTTAGTAAACTCTTTGGAGAAAAGAATTTAAAATTACTCCAGAGCTGATGAAGCTGCTGCTTTTGGGACTTGTATTAGAATGAACTTGTTTTTCTTTTTTAAAGAAAGCTTCTGTAAGCTTATCTGGATTTATGGCATGTTCCAGATCTCCAGAAGGGAAAGTACCCTGACATGAGGTGTTCAGATGTGTGTGGAAATGCTCATCTGCGCTTTCTGGTACTGAGGCACTTTGGGTCTCATGTCAAGACAAACATGTTACGTATTTGCCTAAAGTGTCTCAAACTCAGGCACCTCCTCCATGCCCACAGCCTCTGTTCTTTGTTCTTCCTTGGGTAGTAGAGCAGGCTGGAGCAAGCAGACCTGCATTTCTCCTACAAGACATGTTGTGTCTTTTTTTTTCTTTTTTTTTTTTTTTTTCCTAGAGAGCCACATATTTTTTTTAGGGGATCCTTCATTTTCATAGGGAACACTGCTGAATCTGTCTGTGCCAAATGTCCCCTGCTGCTACTCAGGAGTCTTTGGGGAGCAGGAGGGTATTACAAGGCTCTTGACCTTGAGGACAGCAGTGGACAAAGAGGAAAGGAGAATTTCAAGGCTGTGCCAAAGCATGGAGATGAAGTTTAGCACTTTGAGGTTGCTGTGCTTGTGCTGGGTATCTGCAGAATGGGAGGCCAAGAGAGGTCCTCCTGGAGAGGAAATGAGATATTTTCACTTTTCTGGGACATGTGCATGTTCACAACTTTTTGTTTGGGGGACAGTATCTGCTGATTTGGCCTGATAATAGGCAAGCACTGGTGTTTCAGGACATGTGGAGATACACATGTGGAGATGTCTTTGAGGAAGCAGGTCATGCAGAGTAAATGTGTATGTTGTGTCTATGTAGAGGACAAAATGGTTGGTGTGTGTTTTGCTTCCAGGTGTGGCGGGTTGACCTTGGCTGGCCACCAAAGCCACTGTATCATTCCTCTTTCTGAACTGTTCAGGGGAGAGAAGTTATAGCAAAATCCTGTGGGTTGAGTTAGGATAGACTGCTTTGTCATAGGCAAAATAGCCTCAGCTTGGGGAAATTAATGTATTGCCAGTTAAAATCACAAAAAGGATAATGAAAAATAGGAACATTATAACACCTTTCCCCACCCCTCCCGTCCTTCTGGCACCACTTCACTGCTGATTTTCTTTACCTCCTAGCCTCCAGTGGCACAGGAGGATGGGGAATGGGGGCTACTGTGAGTCAGTTCCTCACACGTCTCTGCCACTCCTTCCTCTGTGGGGCAGCGCTCTTACTCCCACCCTGCTCCACCGTGGGGTGCCTTCCGTGGGAGACAGTCCTCCATGAGTTTCTTCAGTGTAGGTTCTTCCCATGGGCAGCAGTTCTTCCTGAACTGTTCCAGTGTTGGTCCCTTGCTTGGGGTGCCATTCATCAGGCACAGACTGCTCCAGCCAGGGTCCCCTGGGGGGTCAGAAGTCCACATTATGGGTCCACAGGTTCTGCCAGAAGCCTGTTCCAGAATAAGCTTCCCATGGGGTCTCAGCCTTCCTTGGACATTCCCTTGCTCTGGGCATGAATTCCTCCACAGACTTCAGGTCCTGTAGGTTCTGCTCTACCATGAACTCCCATGGGCTGCAGTGGCAGAGACTGCCATATTGTGGTCTTCACCAAAGACTGCAGAGGAATCTCTGCGCTGGTGCCTGGAGCACTCCTCCCCCTTCTCCTTCACTGACCTTGGTGTCTTCTTAAATCTCTTACTCCAGATGTGCTAACACCTTTGCTGATGGGCTCATGTTTGGCCAGTGGTAGGTCCATCTTGGAGCCGGCTGGCATTGGCTCCATTTGACATGGGGGCAGCTTCTAACAGCTTCTCACAGAAGCCACCCCTGCAGGCCCCCTATTACCAAAACTTTCACACATAATTCCCATTCACCAGGGATTTGGTCCAGTGCTTTTGATTTAGAATTTATCTGAAATACCATTAGTTCTTGGAAATGACTAATGTAAATATTCCACCAGAGAAGAGTCTGCTCATTGTTGTGTGGGCAGGACCCTTTTCATCAGAATTTCCAGGAAATCAACAGGGCTCAGCCAATTTCTACTAGCACAGTTTGCCAGGTGCTCTTGATTTTCTTCATCTTAAATGCAAGTTTGTGAATGGAATACACCGAGTTGGTGTGTTACCAGTGAACAAACGCTCACATTTGCATTAAAAGTATTGACATCACACACAGGTGCTTTGTTATATAATACAGAGAAGTTGCAAACTGTAATTATCTTTAGCTACCTTCTCAAATCTTGTTCACAGACCAAAAAATGTCCCTATGCACCTGAGGTAGGTTCCTGTGGTCGTGAACTGTTTGATCTGACTGCCACCATCCAGGTGTCCTCGAATCAAGCCTGCTCAATCAAGAGGCTCTGATCTCCTGGTCAAATGTGTAGGAGACCAGTGCCTTTTGGCAGCTGGCTGTGGCAGACCACGCTGTGCTGCCCGCAAGAAGCAGTGTGTGAGAAGGGGTGTGAGAATAAGGTTCAGTTCTGCATTCTTCTTCGCATCACATTCAAATTACAAACCAGTGCCAACGACAAACATTGTTTTTTACTATCTGCTGCCCAAAGCTGTTCTGCTTTGCTTCTCTTTCTCTTTAAGCTTCACCCTCTTCCCTGTCTTGTATTTTTCTTAGTTCCTGACCTCTCCTAGTTTGTTTTTTTTCTTCTCACCATCCTCTGCATCTTTTCTTCTGGAAGTAAAATACTACATTTCTGTAGTATCTGAATCTGCCTCACAAAACTATGCATTCCTGCACTACCTGCAGGCTGAGGGACCCAGATGCATAAGCCACACAGAATTTGACCTTCAGCAGTGATGCATTTGTCAGGCCTGATTTAAAAACACATTATGTGGTTTATACAACTGAGAGTTGTTTGTGGCCTTATTGGGAAGGTGTGGGGCTCACATACACCCTCTTTCCTGTTTTATACATCCCTGGACCACTGCAGAGACAAATTTAGCACCAGGGTCCCTAAACTTAGTGCCTCTAAGGTCCTCTGTGCTCCAAAAACTAGAATGGATGTGAGGCAATGGGTCATCTTCACCGGCTTCTGAAGAGCAAGTGTTACCTCTCACAGGACTCCATGCAGAGCTCTCACTTTCATGCTCCACTTGCAACCCTGAAATGGGTGACCTGATGTCTGGAGACATTGTAGCAGTGTAGTAAAGAAGCTGTCAGCAGCATGGAGGAAAATCAATGGAAGGGGAAAGGCAGAGTAGCTTTGAGCCTGCATCCCGAGGTGTCTCAAGGCCTTTATGTCATCCGTGGGACAGCATCACATCCCTCCCACAAGGTGGATGTCAGAAAACTAGACCACTGCCTCAGCACTGTTTTCTGTCCTTGCACCCTTGGCTCTTCCTAGGTTGGGGAGTTGACGAGTCTCTTAAAATGCAGCTGTATGGTTGCCTCTTGTGGTGGGTTGGTCCTGACTGGACACCAGGTGCTCTTCAAAGCTGCTCTGTCATTCTGCTTTTCAGCTGGACAGAGGAGAGAATTCTTGTGCATTGAGAGAAGTATGGGAAGAGATCACTCACTGATTACCATCATGGGTATGATCCTCAATCTTATTACCAATGAAATCAGAGTAGGGTAATAAGAAATAAAACTAAATGCTAAAGAATCACCTTCCACCCCATCTCTCCCTTTTTCCTGGCCAATTTCTCTACCTCATCCCCAAGAAATGCAGGGAGTTGGAGAAGACTGCAGTTAGTTCATCACACATTGTTTCTGCTGCTCCTTCCTCTGCAGGGTGAGGACTCCTCTCACTCTTCCCCTTCTCTAGCCTGGATTTCTCCAGGGGCTGCAGGTGGATCTCTGCTTTGCTATGGACTTTTGTGGGCTACAGGAGAACAGCCTCACCATGGTGTTCAGGTCTCTTGAACATCTCTTCCTTCCTCTCCAACTGATGTTGGTGTCTGCAAAGTTGCATCTCTTGTATATTCTCACTCCTCTCCCTGGCTCTCCTTTCCTACACAGTAACTTCTTCCTCTTCTGTTACTCCAGAGGAGCTACCTCCATGGCTGATGGGCTTGCCTTGACCAGTGGTGGCTCCATTTTGGACCTGCCTGGCACTGGCTCCATTGGACAGGTGGTAAGCTTCTAGAAGCTTCTCACAGAAGCCACCTCTGTAGACTGGCCCTCCCCACCCCTCCATGAAAACCTTGCCTTGCAAATGCAGTGCATCCATAAACCATCACTTCTCATTTTCTTACCCACAACCAGGAACAGTTCATTTCTTGTTGCTCAGGTCAGGGTATGGTTGTGTG